CATTGTAGAACGCTAATCAAAATCATCCCCACCAATAATGTGATGGCGTCACTTCAAAATTGTAGAGAGTAAATGGGTTTTAAATTGTTTGAAATAACATAGCCCTACATTTGTAGTTTATAATTCCGTTTTGAGTTTTTACCCAAAGTATCCAGATTTTTGTGAAAAAAAAAATCAAAATTATAAAAAAACATTTTGCAAATTACTTTTGAATCTGCGAAATCGAATGCTTTGAAATCTTGTAAATGTTTTAAGGTTGTAATAGCCATGATAAATTTTTAATCAAAATGTATTTACCTATCGCTCGAAAAAATTGATAACGTCAGCTCAAAATTTTGTCCAATAAATCCAATCTAAAGTATACAAAATATAATGAGTCTATACTTGTGATTTATCATTGCATTCATATTTTTTTAGATTTATTTATACAGGATGACTCAAAAAATTAATAAATCAGCCAATATATTTTATTGAACAAATCAAGAATTGCAAAACTCCATGCTTTGAAATCCTGCAGACGTTTTAAAATCATTGTGAACATGGTAAATTGATAATGAAAATACTAAATTTAAGCACTCTTGAAAGCAGAAGATTACATACTGCCCTTATTTATGTTTTTAAATTATTTAATGGTTATATCAGCTGTTCAGAACTGTTAACACTTTTTAGTTTAAACTGCCCCACAAGACAGATGAGAAGCAATCCAACTTTTCACACGAAGCTGCATCGTACGAATTATGGATTTTTTTCTCCAACAGCTAGATTAACTCGGGAAGTTAATGCACATGATGTGGAAATTTTTGGTCCGTCCTTAAGACAATTTAAATCTAGCATTGAGAATTTAGTTATTTAATGTATGTAATAATGTAATTTGAGTTTAATTTTAAGTTTATTTAATCTGATTCACCTACATCAGCACTAATTATTGTAATGTGTACCAAAGGGGTCTCCCGTGAATAAATTTATTTATTTATTTATTTATTTATTTATTTATTTATTTATTTATTTATTTATTTATTTATTTATTTATTTATTTATTTATTTATTTATTTATTTATTTATATAAAATTGATAACGTTATGTCAACATTTTGCCAAATAAATTCTGCTTAAAATGTGCAAAATATGATGAGTTTTAGTTGTGATTTATCAATTTTTTGTTGATCAGATTAAAAACGAATCACCCCATTTTCCCGAAAATCTGAAAATACAAACGTCTTTATTTAATAACAATGATAATATATTCAGAATATTTTGTCGATTGTAGCTTGCTACTTAATAGTTTTGATCCTCTGTTTCGAGGGGACGAACTCTTTCAAATCAAACTAATTTCCACGTGACATTCTTCTGACATATAAACATAAACACTTTCAAGTTGTATTTCTTTTCGCGGATAAGCTAAGGACGTGCAGTAATGGAGTCCATTAGCCAATTTAGTACCTTCATATTTTCTCGATATTGTATAATCCCTAGACAAGACTAAGGGGAAACTAGTGGATCCTGAGCCTCCCCTAGATCTAGACAAGTTACAATTAACCAAATGTGAACTACAATATCGAAAATCAAAATAAAATAAAATGTAGTGTAAGCCGAAGTCAGAGAAATAAAAAAGTCTGGACCGTCGGCATTGTGATCCGGTTATTGCAATACGTAGAAAACATGTTTTAGTTTAGTTTCTGTTTCACTCTCACGTCTACATGTTATCGCTATTTGTCTTAAATTACGTGTATCATGAATGATTTTCAGTTCAGTCTTCAGTCGCACCTCTGTTATTACATTCGGCAGACGTGATTAAATTATTTCGTTATTTTATTGATTATAAATAACTATTCAAGAATAACAGTAATACAGTACTTTTATTATTAGTATTACAATGCACCTATCCAAACTGATATGCGTCCTTGCAAAAATGTGGATGATTACTCAAACATTAAATACATATTTTTATTTTAGCATATAATGGTTGCTATAAAAAACTATCAAATTCGCAAAATCAAATCTTTTAATTTTTCGAAAGAGCTCGATTTGACAAGCTGTACGTTATGGGCGACGGAAGTTTTGTTGAAGTAATCTTCGACCAATTTTTCTCTTTTCTTAAGCGCTGTGTATTAATTTAAGTACATGACGTCATAACAAATTTTTATTGATCAAATTAAGGAACCCATTTTTTCGAAAGGGTAAGAATTGTTTAATCAAAATTATAATAATATTATTCAGAATATATTGCTCGATTGTGACTTATTTAATTAATAATATTAGTCCTCTGTTTTAAGGCGACAAACTCATTAAAATCAATCAAATTTCTACACAACATTCTTCCGCAGAAAAAGCACTCGCTTAAAGTTCTTTAAAGCTGGTTTTTATTGCTGAGACGCCATTTTTCCGTTGGTTATCTGCTTTAAATATATTTTAATTTTTTGCAATTTGCGCCCCCAGGGCGAAGAGGCTACCGAGGTGTTATCTATTCCGCTGGTTTTCACATTATAGAGGTTATCACAAAGCAAACATCCCAAAGGCTAAACTGATAATTTTTCAAAGAAGTGGGATTTGTTGGACTTGCACAGGAGCGAGGAAACTTCTGTGAAATAAACTTCAACCAATTGTTTATTCTCGTATCGCTCCATAGCGGAGCACAGTGCACCCAGGAAGGTTTTCCACTATTGTTTATTGTTAGCCATTCGGGTCAGTGGTCTCCTTCTGATTCTTGTTCCTATTGTGGTCCATTTTACTGATTGCCTTATAATGTCGCTGTCCTTTTTTCTTAGTGTCTGTCCTATCCAGCTATCGGAACACAGTTTGTAAAATCCTTCCAATTGTGACAACGAATTTAAGCAATTTTATATTTTGCTTATGTGTGCTCCAGAGGTGAATATGCGTCTGTTTGTTTAGTCCCTGATTTCACAGTGCTGGAAATTCCATGATAATATTTTCGATACTTTTCACTTTGTATTAGAATTCTGGAATAAACTTCAACCAAGACGGCCCCACTCTTTTCGTGACTTATCTGGCTCGTAGATCCATCATCACTAATCATCATCTCAATAATACAAAACACAGATCAACCCTGACTTTTTAGAAAACATTCAACGTATAGTTTTTTATTTTCCCGAGCGTAAGCTAAATAAGGAAGTATTGTAAACGAGTCCATCCGGCGACTGACTACTTTTATGAATTCTACACTTCATGACTTCTAGAAACCGCAAAAATAGTCCCCGTTTCCGTCTATCTGTCTGCCTGCCGTCTGTCCAAATTTTTATTAGATAAATAATCTCCGAAAATACCCGACCGATTGTTGTCAACTTTTATATGTTTCATCTCTATAACCAATGTGATGACATCCTCTCGAAATTTTTGAGCTTAGTTTTTTATTATCTACACGATATCTCTAACATACGTATAAAATTTGACAACAATCGGTCCAGTAATTTCGGAATTCACTTATCTAACAAAAATTTACTTTTTCGTACTCTAGGGATCAAAAAATTTCAAGAAAGTATAGGCTCGCGCTTCAGAGCCCTCGACGCTGCGCGTCTCGGGATGTACTTTGTGCTCAGTCTAGAAGTGGCTTTACAACCGTGGTTAATATACTATTTTTTTCACTAGCAGAAACCATAAGACAATAAATTGAAAAAATAAACCTTCACTTTTTTGACGCAACATGATTTTGTTTTGATTTCAAATCAAATTTAATCTAAATCTTCAACACAAAGAATACCGTTTACACTTGTCGCTGAATTAATCATTTTATCTTCTACCGTCTACCAACTACCATGCGTATACTCAAGTAATGTTAGTAGCACACATTTATTCATTTTTTAAGAAATAATTACATCAAGTATTCCGTACATAACCTCAGTCTTTTTTTTGAACCCGTAGTCGCAAAAGTTGAATTTGCTACCTCTAAATGAGTTGACATTTGCATGCTTTATGGCTGCTAGTGAAAAAAATAATATACCGGGTGTCTGGAAAATTGCGGATTAACTCTCCGCTACGCTCTTAACAATCAACTGGTGAGTTTGGGAAAAATAGTAAAAAAAATCCTTCTCACATTTTGGTGGAGTTATAATGATTTTAAAATTGGTTCTTTTGCTACGTTTAACAACTATACAACTCATTCAATTTCAGAATAACTAGTAGTAAAACTTTTAGTTAATATTTTTCTCGCCCATGACCACGTTTAATTACCATTTCAGTTAGAATGCACAAAGATATGGCTGTGTTGTTTTTGTAATAATTTGATAAAATTCTGTTTGACAACAATGTTTGCCTCATATAAAGCGAAGGTGGATTTCATTCACCATCGTTACTAAGAAACCAGAAAGTAAGCCGGAGGTATTCACGCATTAGATGTGTACAGTGTTGCCAATTTTACTTTCATAAAATCACGTTTATTTCGTAATATACATTGTAAAGAATTTTTTTATTATTTTTTTGGGACTCCCGAAACCCTCGTATATACCGTACTGAAGAGTTAATCCGCCATTTTCCAGACAGCCGGTATAGTTTTTGAGTTAAAATGTAAAAAATATTAGAGTTCTGTTTTTTTTTTAAATCCTATATCCAGCACACCATTTTACACACTTTATATAGATAATTGGAAATATTTTGTTTTATGTTTTATGGTCAACAGGATGCTCTTAAATACTGCATCTAAAGTTTTATAGCAACATTCTAGTAGTTTTCGAATATATTGTCCAATAAAATCTCCGACAGACGACAGACAGCCAGAAGCGGAAAACTTAATTTTTCATATCTTGAAAGTAATGAAACGTTGAGGAAAGATGGAATTAACCATTCGTTAAATGGACACTATGATACTAGAATAAGAGATTAATGAATATGACGTATCATAAATTTTATCATGACTTTTTCCAATTTTTTCGAAGATTTCATATCTTCAAGGTCTCGATAATGCTAAATTATCAGATATGTTAATTCCATTGTAGATTATCTTATTTAAAGGCCATCCTGTAAAAATAAAATCAGAGTAATAATTCGGAACTAACACTGTAATTGTGACATATTTTGTAAAAGGTTTCTGCTATTGTAAAAGTTGAACTTCATAACGGGTAAGTTGAAAATTACAGCTTAACTTGACAATGGACGTATGTTTTTAAGAAACTGTCTTGGACTCGGGTGTTAAAATATGATTGTTTGTATTTTTCAGATTCTTATAGAGTCTGTTCTTCTAAATTCATTAATGTATCATACTTTAATCACCCATTCCTACTCCGTTAATGCATTTGATTCGGAAGCATTATTTTACAAAAACACATTCTCTTAACTTTACATTTGGTCTGGGGCGGAGTGCGAGGGAATTGGGTGAACACTCAAACAATTGCTCTAAATGTATGAATAAAAGACGAAACTATGCCTGCTCCTAGTGAGTTTTCCCTATTGGAAAATAATACACAATTCAAGGAAACGTATGTCAATTCCAACACGTACTTGTAAACACCATAAGTTCACGAGTCCGGCTTACACAGCCACGTATTAATATGTGACTAAAAAACAACAAGGTTTAAATAATAAAAAGCAGAATAAAAATGGACGTGAATGCATAAACCACACGTACAAAATTTAAATGGTTGTCTCACTGCTTTACAATTTTTTTTTATGGTACCCTTGCAAAAGTTGCTATTTTAGGTAATACTTGTAATAAGCATTTGCTTTCTGGATGCGAATGTTATGTAATACGTACCATTTTTTTGGTACGCAGTAAGCAACAGTGACTTTTTAGACTAAGCGAAATGTTAAGCTGACGTCATTAGAGTGTTAGCCAAGATGATGAGACAATCTTCCGTTGGCGTTGTACCATCTGCACGATATTCCTAACACACATATAAAATTTTGCAACAATCGGTCCGGTAGTTTCGGAGATTATCTGTCTAATCAAAATTGGTTGACGACAGACATACAGACGGAAACGGGAGACCTTCTGTTTCATATTCTAGGGATCATGGAACGACTCAAAAATATGGAAGTAGCCAATCGTCAGTTTCACATTTTTACAATACTTCCTTAGCTTACGCTCGGGAAGTAAAAATAAGTAAAAATTAAACAACTAAAAGAATTACATATTAAAGTTTTGTTTTCAATGTTAATGAACACTTTACAGAAATATTTAACATTCCGTCTAGAAGATTTACTTTAACAAGCACACAACATTTGTCATCTGCTTCGATTTTATTAGCTATCTAGTCCCCGAAAATACTGCACTGATTGTTGCAAACTTCTATACATATTTTAGGTGGTATTGTATTGTAATAGTTATTTATGTTACAAGTGTTGAAAACGGTCCATTGCATTACGAACGGGAATACGGCGCGAGACACAGTTCGTAATGCAATGGAGTTTTCACACGAGTATCATACAATACTTTTTGCGCTGCCTTTTTGAAAAAATAACATTTTTCAATCGCTAAAAGAATAAATATTACTGAACCGAAATTATGTTGGTATTGAATTTATTACCAAATACGTCAAATACCAATCTGTCAATTTGTCCGGGCTAGCTTTTGAATTTCAAAGTTGAAATGGAAAATCGTGCACGTATTCAGAAAATTGCAGATAAAGCAACTGCAAATTTGTTGCCTGCAAAATCCGCAGGTCCATATGAAGCAGAATATCAAAAATTCATCAAGTGGTGCGAAGAAAATAAAATACGCGAATTTTCTGAAACGACGCTCTTGGTTTATTTCCAAATTAAGTCGGAAATTACGAAAGCCTCCACACTGTGGACAATATATTCAGTTCTGAAAAGTACTCTTGGCATCAAATATAACATAAATCATTCGAAATTTTATAAATTAACAGCGTTTTTAAAGCGGCAGAATGACACAAGCCCAAGAAGTCTGAAATACTTACCAGTGGAAACATTTTTATTTACGGCTCCAGATCAGAGAGAATCTTGTGATTATGATTCAGCGTGAGGTTGCGAATAACGTCAAGTTTAAACGGTTTTTTTAATTAACAAGAACCACTAACAAGTAGTAATAACATACTAGTTGTCAACAACATAAACCAAACCATCGAATAGTGTCAACTGTCAAATTACTACAAATCCAAATTTTGATCAACAAATTCCCCTATTTAAGATTACAACTTAAATTGCGCTTTTTTAAAATTTCGAGCCACTTTTTGTTATAATAACTTTAGATACATGATTATCAATTAGTAGTAATTACTTTGTGATAATCAATTTATTTTTTCAAAGCTTAAATTCCTCGTTTGTATTTTGCGGCACTAGATCCTTTTTCATTGCCATTTCGACACGCCACGTGTCAACGTAAAATGTCAATTACAACTATGGCAGCGCAAAAATGTTAATTAAAATGTATCTGATTATGCCCACAAACAACTTGATAAGGTCACCTCAAAATTTTGCGTCGTAATAATTTCATAAAATAACATACTCCTAAGTATGTCGAGCCAAAGATAGTGTTTGATCTAAGATAAAACACCTAAGCCCTTAATATGTTACAATCAGATATAAGTAATATAATAATATATTGTTTTATCACTAAAGTAGCATAGAAGATACATTTATGGAATTGGTTAGAGGTAGTGAAATTGTTCACTATGGACATATTCTGATCTTTTTAGTCAACGTCCTTATTTTACATTTATTTTTATTTACTTTTAATTTCTTTTTTTAGCACATAGCACACCAAGTTTCAAATGTGTGTGTGTATATAGGTAATCTTATAATTTTAAATAATCTGCCAGTTAGCGATTTTCAAATCATATGCATACGCAAAGATAAAGAAAGTTAAATAAACTTATTAATAAATAGGTACATAAATAAATAAATAGAATTGTATACCTACAATATATAAAGATTAACTATTTACTGTTGTTTAGGAATTTACTAGAGAACCTTAATTCCCATCCAGGTCGTGCGTTCACTAATCTGACACCATAACTCCGGTCTGCAGTCATTTTCGCCTCTTGGGCATAGATAACTTTACTACTTGTCTGGTCTAATCTTGAGTTTTCTATTGTAATCAAAAACCGCAAAAATACTTCGAAACTTATTATTTCACTTTTTTTTTTTCTTTTGTATATAATGAAACCAAGACAACGCAATTACATTCTAATTTAGACGTTAGCTTACTAAGTTTTGCTTTCATCACGAATATAACTCGAGAGCTCAAAATTAAGAAGGACATTTTCCCTCCAGTTATTTGTAGTTTGTTTTCTGGATAATTGGTATTCGTTCGTGTCAAATGATCGCCGAAACATACTACTCGTCTGTCGGAAAAATCTCCAACAATTTCGGGCTCTCTTGTTATGATAATTATGACAATTTCGCCAATGAGTTTTTTTTTCAGTAAACTTATGCAACATTGTCATCATGGATCTGATGGAACGAAAATTTAAACACAAAAAAAGTAGATGTTGCCGTTTTGGTTTTTTGTGTAGAAAACGTGCAGAAGAAAACATTGAAATATTACACAATCGATCGCTTGAAGCAAGGACTGCAAACGAGGTATTATAATTTTGAACAAAATTGGTCGACGGTTCTGGAAATATCTAGCTGTATCTATTGTTTTTAGCAATCCTATATAAACAACTGGGTTTGCTAATGAAGAGAACGCTATGTCCTTGTTTTTGCCTTAAGTTTGTTGTTGCCAAATAAAATTTTAAACTTTCCTAAATTATTAAAAAAACATTACTTCCTTAGTAATGTCGTCATCATTTTGAAACTTTGATGTTTCTTTTAAATGATTGTTAGAGTTATCCGAATTATATTTGAAACCTAAACGAAAATTATTTACGTGTAAATAAATAAATGGCATTACTCAATAATATTTTTTGTCAACAGACAAATGCAGTAAAATCAGAAGACACCTCAGTCAATCAACCTGTTGTATTTGGAAGCAATCACCAAATTACCGACACCAACGAATATATAGGTCAGATTAATGGTTTTAGTCGTGAAGGAGATGTAGAAATAAATCAAATTTCTTCAGTAAAGGTACTTAATTAAATACATATTTTTGGGGACTTACTTTGAACGTATTGTAATTTATATTAACCCGCGAAGCAGCTAATGAGATATGGATTCCTATTCAGCTTACTTATCATAAATTTAAACGAAACCAAATTTTATCATTTTACAACTCGTCGCCCATTTAAAAATGATTAAATATCCATCTTTTTAACATACTCGTAGAAGAAACGCACCGCCAGCGACATATTACTAAAATTATCCCAATAAAATTTATTAAATTAATTTATATTAATATTTTTTAGCAAACAGATCTAATAATGTTAGAAGATGCCTTAGACCAACACTTGGGAAACAATGAACAACAAGACAAAGAAAAAAATAAAACATTTCCGGAAAAGGTAAATTTATTTACGATGAAATAGATTTCTTTCTACGAAACGACTAAATATTTCGATTTCTTCAAAATGGGTAACTTTGATTGTCGTATTTCGTTTCCATAAAAAGGGCATAAAATTCTAATTGTTAAATTAAAGCGAGTTTTGTTTTTAAACGAAGGTTTAAATTTCGATTTTTGTTTTACTTTGTGACAATTTAAAAATGTATCAATGTCAGTGTTACAAACTAGGAATGTAGTGTTAAAGTTACCTCAATAAAATAGCAAATCTGAAAATGAATTGTTTAATGCGTAAAATTTATTTACGAGTAGATAAGCAATTTTAATAATCGAACATTTTTTTTAGCATATAGATCCAAAAAGGCCAGAAGATGCTTCGAACAAACAACCTGATATATCATATGGAGACGATCAACAAATTGAGGATGACGTTAGTAAAATAGACGAAGAAAATAGTAAAACTTGTCCTGAAGAGGTAATTTTTTTTAAGACAAAATACATTCTTTGCGCGTTAATTTGGTACTAAATAATCAATATTGCCGCGATACGGCTAATTAACTGTAAATATCTTCAACATTGTCAACATCGATTTACCAATTGGAACATTTTACACTTCTTTTTCTGGTTGACAGCACTAATTTCACGAAAGTCAAGTTTTGATAGAGATAATTCACCGGAACACTCATATTTTAAATAGCTGCCATCATTTTCTACCCTTTAGCTTTCTGTCAGTACTTACGGATTGTTAAATGTAGTTTTCGATGTTTAAATCAGCAATATTTATTTCTATTCATGTCAAAAAAAGATTAGGTGTTATAACGACAAGTGCTTACATTTTACCCTTTTTTCTTAATATGTGTGGTGTAGTTTTCGTTTCACAACAAGAAAGGTAAATTTTTGTAGGAAAGTATCGATTTTTTAATTAGGCTCCGCCCCTCGGTCTGACAACGAATGAAAAATTCATCACAATTGAGCTTGGGATGGATATGGGTGGGAGTTAATTTTTGGCTTTAATCTTTTCTTAATATACATAGTATTTTTTGAATAACACCGTACTCAAAACATGACTTACATGGTAATTTCTTCTAGAGAAATAATAAGGATTTTGCAATTAAATTCCACTCCTTTGGCTCTCGACGATTAAAAAAAAAATCATCACAATTGAAATAGGGAAGGTGGGCATTTTGCCTTGATTTGTAGTCATCTTTTCACAACAAGAAACTTAAAACACGTTTAAAATGCTAAATTTGCATAGACAAATATTGATTTTGCAATTATTCTCCGCCCCTCGGTCTAAAGCCGAATGAAAAATTCATCACGACTGAGATCGAGATGGATGGGTGGGGCTTCTCTTTTGGTTTTCATTTTTAATTAATACATTTAGTTTTCTTTGTATAATACCTACACTTAAGAACATATTTCACATGATAATTTCTCGTAGAAAAATAAGGATTTTACAATCAAGGTCCGCCCCTCCATTCACGACGAATAAAAAAAAATTAGCATAATTGAGATAGGGCTGGTGGGCGGGGTTTATATTTTGCCCTTTTTTTCTTAATATACATAGCCATCTTTTCACAACAATAAACTTAAAATACGGTTAAAATGGTATAATTTGCAAGAAAATATGGATTTTGCAATTATGGAGCGGAGCCTAATTGCTAAATCCATATTTCCTCATACAAGTTTTCCATTTTAAACATGTTTTAAATTTCTTGTTGTGAAAAGAAGTCTACACAATATTAAAACAAAAAGGCAAAATGTAAGCCCGCCCACCAGCCCTATCTCAATTTTGATGATTTTTTTTATTCGCCGAGAACCAGCTTAACTGCAAAATACTTATTTCTTTACAAGAAAATAAAAACATGTTTTTGAGTACCGTGTTGTTTAAAGAGTACAATGTACCTATATTAAGAAAAAAAGGCAAAATATAAACCCCGCCACCCACCCCATCTCAATTGTGATGATATTTTTTATTCTTAGAAACTTAATACACGTTTAAAATCGTAAATTTTTGTTAGGAAATATGGATTTTGCAATTAAACTCCGCCCCTAGGTCTTAATCTTTGGCTTTAATTTTTGCTTAATATACATACATAGTATTTTTTGAATGACACGATTCTAAAAAACAAATCTTACATGGTAATTTCTTCTAGAGAAATAATAAGGATTTAGCAATAAATTACATTCCGCTTGTTTGACTCTTGACAATTAAAAAAATCCACACAATTTAGATAGGGCCGGTGGGCGGGGTTTATATTTGGCTTTTTTTCTTAACATACGTAGTCGTCTTTTCAAAACAAGAACCTTAAAACATGATAAAAATGGTACATTCTTGGAAACGGGTTATGTTCGGACTTGATGTTCGCTATAAATATGTCTAGTTATCTTGGTAGAACATACTGTTACAACATTTGCACAGGTCCTTTCGTTTATTGTTTCTTTCCCTGCTATGGTTTCTAGCATTTTTGTCGCAATTGTAATACATAGTTATTAGCTAGATTTCTTCAAAGTGGTTAACTTTTGTTTTCGTGTGTTGTTTACATAAAGATAACATAAAATTCAAACTCAATAGTGTCGAATTAAAGCGAGATTTGTTTTTAAATGAAGGTTTCAATTTCGATTTTTGTTTTACTTTGTGACATTTTAAAAATGTATAAATATTTATGTTACAAACTAGGAACGTAGTGTTAAAATTATGCAAATATAATAGGAAATTTGAAAATGAATTCTAGTACATAAGTAAGTAATTTTAATAACTGAACTTTTTTTAGCAGATAGATCCAAAAAGGCCAGAAGATGCTTCCAACGAACAACTTGATATATTATGTGGAGACAATCAACAAACTGAGGATGATGTTAGTGAAGAAAATGGAGCAAAAAACAAAACTTGTCCGGAAAAGGTAAATTTTTTAAAGACAAAATACATTCTTTGCGAGTTAATTCGGTCATAAATAATAATCAATATTACCGCGATAAACCTCTAATTAACTGTGAATATTTTCAACATGGTCAACATAGAATTTTTAACTCTACATTTGGTACCGCGCTTATATTCGCAGCAGGTATGCCTTGTGTTCTGCTTATTGCACCCTGTGTGAGGTTTCAATTTTTCACTAATATTTAAAGGGGAGTACTTGAGGTTTTTCATTATCTTAATTTTTCCTGTGTTTTCTGTTTATAATTATATATCCAGTTTTTTCTCTGTTTATTAGTAACACTATTTTACTCGCCGCCTCTATTATTATTTTAGCTTCTTCTGCATGCTTCTTATGTATCTCGTTATTACCCGCTTATGTCACTATCTGTCCTGATTTTGTTCTTATTGTTCCATTTAGATTACCTTCTTTTACCACGCCATCCAGTGTTAGATTATACAATATTGTGGATAGGAGATCCCCTTGTCTTAATACGGTGTTAATTTTTATTTCATGGGCACTTACATATTTTTTCGACGTGTCATGACCCCTACAGTACGAAAAAATATTTTCCCGTTTCCGTCTGTCTGTCTGTACTCATGTCTGTCTGTCTGTTTGTATCCATTTTTATTACACACGTAATCTCCGAAACTGTTGAACCGATTGTTGTCAAATTTTGTATAAATATTAGAAATATCATGCTGATGGCTAAATGCTAACCAAAATTTGGCTAATCATCCCCGCCAACAATTTGATGATGTCATCTCTATGAGCAGTATTTCAAAATCAGTTGTATACAGGGTTAGTCACGAGAGAATTACTTCTGAAAATAATTTTTACGCAACCCAAAATACTAATACCCTGTACCACTTGATATTATCTAAATTTAAAATGAAATGCCTAATCCATGATTGCTTTGACTTTGGCAGTGTCACTTTGACGTTAATTAATTTTTAACATTTTTTTTCATCGTTGACTCGCCTCTAGAGCCCCATTGGATCTACGACATACAGTCAGATCAATCTGGGCTATACTGAAGCCGTAAGTGCTCTACCAATGTTGTTCGCCGCTAATGTGCATGTGTTAATTCGCCATCTCTGCGTCACCTAGAGCCTCTTCGAAGTGCAAATCTGCAGCCTCTGGACTTCTTCGGCCATCCATTTACAAAAAAGCCGTAGCATCCCCCCAAAATGCCCAACACTTTCAACAGATTGGTAGTTAAATTATTTACTTACTTGTTTGAGTTTGTGTTGTAACCTTTGAATAAAATGCCGTAAAAGGAATTTTTAGAAATAATTTTCTCGTGATTAATCGGTTGTAAAAGATCAAGAGGCACACTGACAAATTTATTAGCGGCGCCGGAGGAGATTTCCAACTGGCTGCGGTACCACCATGGACACTCGCGTAACCTCATTTTCCACAATTGTCAAAATGAGATTGCCAAACTCAAAGCAATCATGGATTAAGCATTTCATTTTAAATTCAGTTAGTATCAAATGGTACATGGTATTCGTATTTTGGGTTGCGTAAAAATAATTTTCAGAAGTAATTCTTTCGTGACTAACCCTGTATTATACAAAAATATGCTCCTATACTTGTAGTATACGAATCCGCTTCCAGTTTTTCCGCAGAACGTGCAAACTTTCGTCAAACAATTACACGATATAATATATATAACGTTATATTAATTACCACCACGAGATACACGAGCTCGTGGCACAGTGGCTCAGCGGCATCTTTGGCAAACCGGCGACATTTCGTCGTGGATTTAATGCCATTGCATTGGTATGACGCTGTGACTACCTTCTTTTTGTGCTGTGACTAGAATTATCCATGTTGATGACATCGTCACAAATTTTTTATTGGTCAAATTAAGAACGAGTCACCCCATTTTCTCGAAAATGTCGCACGTCTTTATATAGAAAGGATAAAACAAGAATAAGAAATAATTTCAACGTTACATTTTTTCGATGTATTGACGTAAATCAACACTTGAGCTTCAGATAATTATTACCTAGTGTTCAAGGACAAGGGATGTTATTTATGCATCTGGTTTTTACTTTACAGCGGTTATCACAAAACGAAAATAGTAAAATCAAATTTTATATATTTTTGTCTCCAGAAAATGTGAGAACACCAACGTTTTTATTTAACTATGATGTAATAAGACTAATGATAATCATATTCAAAACATTTTGTTCCATTGTGGCTTAATTAATAATTTTAGTCTTCTGTTTTGAGTACACAACTTATTCGAATTAAACAAATTTCTACGTGACATTCTTTCGATGTATAAACATAAACAATCGAAGTTAAGCATGTACCCTGATAATAATACACTCTTTTCCGTTGGTTATTTGCTGCTTTGAATACATTTCATATTGTCTGTATATCTGCGCACGGCACCTCCTTGAAATTTGGATCCCCGGAGCACAGGGGGTTCGAGGTATCATATACATCACTGGTTTTACTATATAAAGGTTATCAGAAAACACAAATTTTCTATAATTTTTCAAAGCGGAATTTGTTGGATTGTACTGAAAATTTGAAACAGTATAAATGTTTAAGTTACGAACATATAAAAAGAAATGAAAATCTGAAAAAAAAGTTTATTACATTAATACAATTTATTTACGAGTGAATAAGCAATACTCTTTAATTAGAATATGTCGCGGACAAACAAGCTAATGTAATATGTATCGACAACCAAGAAATTGAGGATGATACTATCGAAAATACACATATATACAGTGTTTCTATAAATGATTATAGAGTCGAAGTAGGTCATAGATGTGTGGCGCCTATCACCTTATGCGAATGTTACTAAATGCCCAATGACTCACGAGTACTCACGACAGATACCAGACGCATCTGTATAACTGGTTGCCTAAGTTCTTCATATCTCAAAAAAATAAAACTATTCAATTAATTTCAATAACAAATTTTAAGTCGGGCAAAACTTTTTAATGACTGTAAATATGACTTTATTAAAGCATAATGAATGCTAGGAAACCAGAATTTAACTGCAAATTTGTAATTTAATTGAATACAAAATCACTGTGTAGATGATGAAGGTAAAATGGGTAATAATAGCCGCGTTTACCACAATTGGTGAAAATGTCAGCTTGGTGCCCGACTTTAAACTTCCGCCACTGTACGACGTTGTTACTGAAATTTAAGTGTCATTTGTATGACAGAGTGTTTCGATTTACGAGTTTTATTTTCGTAAAAATTGGTCTGGACTAGATAGGAAGTCCTCGCCTCTGAAGTAGGTACAGGCGAAAAAAATTGGTCTAAAGAGTTTAGACAGTACTTCCCTCGCTGTTAGAAACGTGACGACTGCATGCCTATTATGTTTTCTTTTCGCAGTAGATTTGAAAGCATTCGGTTTTGTTGTTCCTGAGTGAATCAATAAAATAAATTTACGCATTCATTATTTTTTTTGAGTCATCCGGTATATGCAAATTCAAAAAATATGAATGGAATGATAAATTACAAGTACAGACTCATCATATTTTGTACATTCCAGATAGGATTTATCCGGCAAACTTTTGAGCTGACGTCATCAGTTTTTTGGAGAGGATAACCAAATATATTTTGACTAAAAATTTATTATGCTCTTTATAACCTTAAAAGATCTGCAAGATTTCAAAACATTCGGTTCAGTAGTTCCTGATTAAATCAATAAAATACATTTATGCATTCATAATTTTTTTTGGGTCACCCTGTAGGTATATGCAAATCGAAAAAATATGAACGGACTGATAAATCACAAGAAGAGACTCATCATAGTTTGTACATTTTAGATAGGATTTATTCAGCAAAATTTTGTGGTGACGTCATAAATTTTTTAGGGGTGACGACCAAATACATTTTGATAAAAAAATTACCATTCTTATGATAATTTTAAAACATCTTCAAGATTTCAAAGCATTCGGTTTTGTAGTTCCTGAGTAAAATAAATTTACGCATTCATTAATTTTTTTGAGTCACCTGTATATGCAAATCCAAAAAATATGAATGGGGTGATAGATCACAAGTACAGACTCATCATATTTTGTAGATTTTAGACCGGATTTATTCGGCAAACTTTTGAGCTGACGTCATCAAGTTTTTGGAGGGGATAAGCAAATATATTTTGACTAAACGTTTATTAAGCTTTTTATATCCTTAAAATATCTGCAAGATTTCAAAGCATTCCATTTTGTAGTTCCTGAGTAAATCAGTAAAATAAATTTACGCATTCATTAATTTTTTTGGGTCACCCTGTATATGCAAATCCAAAAAATATGAATGGAGTGATAGATCACAACTACAGACTCATCATATTTTGTACATTTTAGATAGGATTTATTCGGCAAACTTTTGAGCTGACGTCATCAAGTTTTTGGAGGGGATAGCCAAATATATTTTGACTACAGATTTATGATGCTCTTAATAGCCTTAAAACATCTGCAACATTTCAAAACATTCGGGTTAGCAGATTCAAAATTAAATTGCAAAATGTTGTTTTATGATTTTGATTTTTTTTCCAAAAATCTGGACGTTTCGGGTAAAAACTCAATTCGTAGTCGTAAACTACATGTGTAGGACTATGTTATTTTATAAAATTTAAAACGCATTTACTATGTACAATTTTGAAGTGACGTCATCGTATTAGTGGTGGGGATGATTAGACAAATTTTGGTGAGCGTTTTACCATCTACATGATATTCCTAATATAAGTACAAAATTTCACAACAATCGGTCCAGTACTTTCGGAGATTATCTGTCTAATAAAAATCGGGGACGGCAGACAGACGGACAGACGGACAGACGGACAGACGGGCAGACAGACGGAAATGGGAGACCTATTTCTTCGTCTTCTACGGGTCATGAAAGATCGAGAAAACGTAAAAGTAGAGAGTCGACCGACGGACTCGATTACAATACTTCCTTTGCTTACGCTCGGGAAGTAAAATGTATGTTCTTCAAAAATTTTTATT